GCCGATCCGACGCAGGAGTCGAAAATAAGCTGCTTCATCCTCGAGAGAAGAGTTAGGGGGCCTATAGCAAATTCCTATCACGATCTTATGCAGAACGCACTGGACTGGTTGCGCATGTAGAGCTTAAGTGTAAACTTTTTCCAGCCAATACAATGTGTGGTGTGGTGATAATGAGATAGACTCAGCGGCGAAGCCAGTAACGAAAAAATGCAGGACCTTGTCCTGTATCACCTTCAAGTTCCGCCTCTGGCCAACAGGAGATTCTGACCTTCTTACAAACCAAGGGTTTCAGAAGGATCACGTCCTTAACGAGGATCCTGCTGAGCTCTTTATGTTTCAAGGGTTGCGTTCGCTATCTTTTCCCTCTGCATGCTTCGTCTTCCTTTTTGGTCCTCATAACTGAGAAGCTAAAGTACAGGGTCATCACTAAGTGTCACATTTTCTATAAGTTTCCATGTTAAATGCCTATGACTGTTGAGATGCTCACGGGCTGCGCCTTTGTTCAGGTCTTTAAGAAGTGATATTTGAGAACTGCTCTGTCCTGATGCATTTAAACACACACAACACACACGGCCAGCCTAGAGCACCAACAGGTTAAACTAGCTGTTGATACTCTAGGCCGACCGTACACCCCTGACGAAGCCGGTCAAACAGCGTCAATAAGCTATCCTAGAGCTTCGGTATCATTTCTTTTCCTTTGTAGCTTCGTAGTTTTCTTGTATCTGGAACCCCTTATCTGCTTGGCAATTTACAATATCATGGTTGTTAGAGGACTCCCAGGGTTGCCGGGCTGTAGCTGTTTAAGGACCTGCCTCTCTGGCCTATGACATGTATACCATGAACTGCTGAATGCAAAGTGAATTCTTTGACGATATCAAACAGCAGGTGTTATATTATATTATATTGTATTCACTTTGCACTCAGCAGCTCATGGTATACATGGCTATTGAGGTTTACTGGGGTGCTGATTTTTGTTCTGAGACTATTTCAGGGGTGGGGGATAGTGTGGTGGTTCGAAACTCATGTTTCTCAGTGCAAAAGCTGGGCATTTTCTGCTGCCCTTGGGTGCTTTCAGCCAGAATCGGCACCAAAAAGTAATTTAACTTACTCTGTACACAGGGTGTTCGTATTTAAACGCAACATAGGAAATGTTTTGCCGTCTGTATGTGGAGTTCGGGCAATGCTACAAGGCCCACCGGGTTGCATATCTGCAAGGAACACAATACAACACACCAGTTTGTTCTTATCCTTACAGATATGCAGCTTGGTGAGCTTAATGGCACTCTCTGAACTCTACAAACAGACGGCAAATTTTTCCCTATGTTGCGTTTAAATACGATCACCCTGTATATACAGTATATACTCCTAAAAGCAACCTCATCAGGACAACCCAAGTGCTGGGAGCGAAGTCGACAGCAAGAGACACCCAGACACCTAGGCGCATTACATTAGAGAGACATAATATGTATATATATATTATTATTATTATTATTTATATTTATGGATATGTACAGGGTCGGGGGGCAGAATAATATTGTCAAAGGTTGAGAGACGAGGACTCTCTTCATGATAAAAGTCGATGGGGGAATCATGGAGTAATCATGACAGCTCTGCCTAACTTCATTTCGTTCTCTCTCTTTTCTCGTCCTCTTTCCCTCTTTCTGGGCACGATCAATAGCTCACTGGCATGCCTGTCACTCCCCCAATTACGAGTATTTCAGTTTTTCTTCTCTGCCCCCTTCCTGACGACGACATTCCATCCTCTTTCCCCACTGAGAGACCCAGAATCCCGATTTCTGCAGACATCTCCAGGGAGACAGATCCCTGGGCCTGGACTTCAGGACGCTATCTGGCCAAAGGCCTTTGACTTTCTCATTCCCATTCCCCAGATGGGCTTGTCTTTCATGACACCGGGTAATTGCATCGCTTTCCTATCGTTCTAACGATCTTTTGCTTCTCCTCAGAGTTCCATAGACCTTCGATAAGGACTAGTCTATATGGACCGTGCGGAGGAGAGGAACGAGAGAGAAAGAGACACAGAACAAGAGCATGTTAGCAATGCAATGAAAACACTAGGGGGAGTCTAAACTAACGAGAGAGAGAGAGAGTGGGAGTGAACGGACCTTGGATGAACTAAGGAGCACCATGGTGGATCTTTCGAGGACATGTCTAGCAGCTGCCATTTGAGCTCTCCTCCTTTCGTCTTTCAGGTCATTCTGTCGATTTCCCGTTAGCTGAGCCAGGTCCACCATTTCCTGGCCGAATTGGCAGAAAGCTCGAACGAACTCCGTAAAGTTCTTGACATTTTCCAGCCTGGTAAGAGCGTTGGCCACCTGAAAGAGACAAGCCAATCTTGATATCTCGACTCCGTCAAAAGCATCCGGCTGGAGTTTCTCGGACGAATAAGGGCTTCCACTCAGATGAGCACTCTTCTGCTCTTAGCTCTGGCAATTACACGGTTTGCTTCCGACATTTTCCCGTCCCTTTTACATGAAAATCTTTCCTACAATTCAAAGAATATCCAGTTTCAAAGGCTGCCACCGCAGTCTTAAATCCTGGGTCGTTCTTCTCCCGCAATGCGATTTTCACATTATGTCCAGCAATTGTGGCAGCTGAAAAGGTTGCAAGGTCTGATTCTAGCCCTGTCGTACCCACTATAGCTGAGTATGACGTTCAATATGACTCCTCTTCCCGGAGAAGGGGGCGGGACAAAGAAGAGGGAAAGAAAAGTTGAATGGGAGAGGTGGGAAAAAGAAGGAAAAAAAGAAGAAAAGAAAAAAAAAGGAAGGCGAGATGCGGTGCTTTGATTAGATTTCTGTCTCTGCCTGCGTAATTTCATTGTCCAAGTCAAGAGCAAGGAGGGAAGGGAATAGAAGCCCATGGCAAACTTGGACCCAGCCAGGGCCGAGGCGTTCAAATTCAGCTGCCTTTCAACGTCCTCTATTGCCTGAGGGAGACAGAGAGGAAAGAGAAAGCTCTCGCAATATCTGGCTAGCTCTCCGAATCCATTGAACCATTCCCAGTGTTTGATGGCATCGGTTGAGAAGCCAGTCGCTCGCTTTTCTACGATTTCGTAAACCCCGATGCCTCCTCATGAAATTTTATACGTTGGCTTCCTACAAGGTCACTCCGTCACTGAGGGAATGCAAGACTGCTGTACATTGTCTATGGTGCGGTGAAGTCAAACAGGAAACTGAACGGTAAGATGCAGAACTTAATGACTCACCTTGTCTTTGGCGAGAAGAAGTTGTCGTACGACAATGGAATCGGCAAATAGGAGCACTTGAGTGACGGAGGAGAGGAGGCGGCGAGCAGCCCGAATGAGAGAGGTTGAGAAATATCCCTGAGTATCGCTATCTTCACTCACCCCCTCACACAGCTTCTCTATCTCTCCACCTTGGGATCAAAATTCCGACCAGAATGATATTAGTCATCTTTCCCCGGAGAAAGTCCAAGAAAAGTCCCTCGTTCATGGAAACGAAATGTCGTCCGACAGCTGGCAGAACTCAAGCCCTCCTCCGCTCGAGTAGACAGAGATTTATTGAAGCAGAAGGGGAAGGGATTTGCACCTTAAATGAAATGTGCAGCATTTCGTAAAGAGGAGATTCCATTTCGTTCTTTCCATCTTCTTTACTCAATCTCCTGCGCAACCATTTCCATGGCGCCTTTCAGCCCTTCTCTCCCGGTCATTTCGGATCATCTCTCATGGAATCATTTGAGTGGGGATACCGAATCACTTCCGTTCACTTTGACGCTTCATCAGAACTGGGAGCGAGCTCCCAGTCACAACATCTAAATCGAGTCTGACAGGAACCTGATTACGGTGGAGACTGAAACGTAGATAATGGCCTTCGCACGATCCTCTTTGGCAAAGGGATCAGTTCCGTAACAAGGGAATTAAGTCGTTATCGATTGATAGGAAGAAAACGCAGCTCTGATATCTCGTCCATCGATCAGATCCCGGTTCAGGATTCGACTGTTTGTCGGCGACATTATTCACACTTCGTTTTCAGAGTGCAGTGAAAATGTCACTTCTTTTCCAACTCAGGATGAAAGGGAGTGTTTAGACAAAGAAGCAGAAGATTTTACGAACACTGATGCTGAAAATAACTTCGACTTGGGATTTTTAAGGTCTTTTTGGTCTTGCTTTAACGGCATCAGAATTCCGAGTGAGGAGAAAGATCGTTCGAACGTCCCCCCTCCCGGCGCCACAGCGACACACCGAAGTTGTGCGGAATAGCTATATGGGCCGAAAGCTGCTTTTATTGGGGATCCATTCAAACCCTTACGAGGGGTCCGAGCCCAGCTCCTTGTGAGAGTAGATATCTTTTCCTTGGATATATCCCTGGCCATCATGATGACGATCATCATGGGCCCCCCCCCCCCCCCCTTCCCTTCCCCATCCCTTCATTCCCATCCCCGCTCCTCTTTCAATCCATCTCTCGCTTTATCGCTCTTTTCTGGGATCCAATTTCTTTCGATCACTCCTTTCCTCTCCGTCTTCTTCTCTGTACGCACCTGATGGGATTGGATGAGTCACAAGAACCCCTAGAGTCTGCTTTACTCGGATTGGTCGATGACGTGAAGATATCGACAGGAACTGTCATCGGAAGTCTGCGGGATGACTGCCTCCATTGTCTCGTCTTGATTGTACGCCATAAACTGAATTGCACTAGAATATATAGCCCTATTCTGCTGGTAAATTCAGGAGATTTCGGGGGACGGAATCGAGAAAGCGTTCATTCTCCGTAAAAGACGGAAATATATATGTATAAAAGGTTATGAAACTTGACAAACGATCTCCGTCTGTACAGTTAAGGCTAGAGACAAAACAATTTCGGATTTTTCGACGGTACATCAATAGAAGGATTTCCCTGCAACCAAAAGCTGCAATTCACAATCCAAGTGAAGAATAATAATAAAGAAAAAAAGGGGAGCGTTCCTACCTGCAATTCGAGCGTCCTTGCAGGCTTCACACATTCTGCTCTTGATGTCCTGATAGTCATCGGCAATCGTTTCACCGACTGTGACGAATCTTTCTACTGCTACATTGACAGCCTGCCCGACACGGACACACGAAGCCTGACTTCTGGCTGAAGACGACGAGGAACCGGGCTTTAGCTTCTCCTGATGATTCATCAGATTGGAGATCTGGAATATCAATCAATCAAACGGGATAGAGTCGTGTTTGGTCGATCCCGGAGAGCACGGAAGGAATGAGTCCCTGACCACGACGCTCCTAATTACTTTCTTCTCCGTCTCTATGCAAGGATCTCATCAAAGCCTTCCCCTTGTTATTGTCTTCTCCTTTAATCACGATCCTGGCAAGAAAAACGGCTTTCTTCTCGTCGACTCGTCAGATAAGACGACAAAGACATGAGAGGGACGGAAGCGGAATCCTTTCATTACACTTCAGCTGTTTACAGGCCCTTTTCATAAGTGGCATCATATTGGAATCTTCAATCTAACACAGCTATGGAAAAGCTGAACCTAGGGGTGGATTTTTCCCAGACTCCAGTCATTCCTTAATCCTGCTCCCCACCACTTGTAAAACTCGGCGAAAAGCTATAATCCACTAGTCCACTTCTTATGAAGATGATGACGGATTTTCGGAGAAGCAATCGGTGCTGGAAAGGCCCTTGAGAGTTTGAGATTCAGCCCCCTTTTCCGGCCTTCAGCTGCGCGTGAAATTCAATAAGATTCTCTTCTAAGGTTATATTACTTGTTCGGAGCCCCCTTTGACTGGATACAAATGGTGTAGAAATAGTCCTGCGGATCGAGAGCTTACGCACAAGACACGTCTGCTCGTATAAAGCTAGTACTATGCTAGGGCTATTGATCTATCAACTGCAGGTGTAAGAACGGAAGCTGATTTAATGCCGGTCATTCCGGTTCAATGAACTGGTGGGTCTCCCCCCCCCCCGACGGGCTCCCATTATTCTCCCTCCAAATATGGAGTAATGTATGAAAACAAATGTGCGAAAATTCAAAGGGCAACATAGTTGTATCTATTCACAGGTGCGAAACCAAGGGAGGAAAGAAGTCCTTGGAGAGGAAAAATTAGGATGAAAAAAAAGAGGGCATCATTATGAAGGATCAGGACGAGGCATGAATACATAGATGCATCCCACTCCTTCGCTTGTCAAGCTCGTCCCTGCATCTCTCCGTCGGTTTTTCGCTAGGCGCTCCCCCCAACCCCGATTGAGCCTTAACCTTTAAAACTACCCCTTTTCAATTTTCTGATTGCGTCTCTGTCGGTTCAGCTGCTGTCAGAAGTGAAATTAAAAGTCCAATTTCATCTGTAAAATTTTTTTGGTCGGTCACTAGACGTGCACTCCCTTCATCCTTTGACCCCAATCCTTTCTTTTGATCCGCTCCTGTGTAAGAATCGCCTAATCACTTGGAAAGGCAAAGGCATTCAAAAGCGTACTGGGCACACAATAACATATCGGAAGACTTCTCTGAGAAGCAATACTAACTTGGACGTATCTTTTTTCCTCATATGAGGTTGGCTAAGTGAGTTTACAACAGATCACAAATTCATAGACAGGCATCTGTCAACTAAGGAAGTAATGAAGATGCTATGCTTTTCCATTGTTCCTTTCTGGGTTTCTAAGGATTTCGCTGGCCTCTGAAAATCATGAATTAACAACACAAGTGCTTATACTCTTACTTGCAAATGATAAAAACAAATTGCTACAGTAGCTACACGGTTTCCAAAATGTCCACAATAAACTGCAACAACCCCAACTTCTGTTTGCGCCCCAGCGATGTTACAAATAAGGAATTCAGAAACAGACTGATATTGTGAAAGCGTGAAATCAATTAACCTTCAGAGCAGGGAAAGTCAGGGAAGTACATGTCAGTCAGGGAAGTTTACGTTTACAGATGACCATTTCCTCGTCTCAAATACATGGTTTTCTCCACTGCAAATATTGAATAAACTTGCCACATGGATTACTGTGGACGTGTTAATGAATATGGACCCAGTTTATCATCAAATCATGACTATGACAGATCTCCCTTCAAAGCAAGCTTCAATGTCAAAGGCATTAAGATAAAGTCTTTCTCCTGATTGCATGCGTATGGTGAGAAATGCATGAGGAGATTTGAGGTCCGAGAGAGAATCGCTTCCCAAGGAGGGTATGGCCCGATATATTATTGAATGCCTCTATCCTCGCAGGCGCAATTCTTACGTCCGAAGTCTTGTCTCCTTGCATCTGAGGGCGTGATCCCGCACGATTCCTTTCTCTCATTCACACCGAAGAGATTATGACTAATAGATTCTCGTGTTTTCTACTCATGAACATGTCCTTGGCATGTTATGGATCGCTGTATTACAATGGTCACATTGACAATGAGTCATGTGTAATTCAAATTGTCGAGATGAGTTTCACATAAAAGTGTAGTCGGAGGGAGATGAATGTACATGCACATGTGCCATTATCGCGCATTCTGTGCGGCCATTTCGAGTGCGGCTCGGGTAGTAGGAGAGCCGGGCAACAGATATAATGCCTTGTCTCACCTCGACACAACGTGCTGCATCGGGTCGTTGTTACTATGGGCATGAATAATGTATAACGACTGCCATGCGGGTCTATTGCATAGAAATGGGTCGGTGCAATGGTCCCTGTAAACCACTAGCTATGAAAACTCCAATACAGAGGTTCGAGGGAAAAGACAGTATCCGGGATGTTTAAGGGGCCTAGGTGACCTGTCATTCCTGTGGACGTGTGAGCACGATGTAACCTGTAAATAAAACCCTCGAGGTGTCAGGTACTATCATGCAGTTGAAGCGATTCCGTCCAACCGTTTCGCAGTTATAGCTATTTAAAGTTTACTTCTTTTTTTATATTACAACAATAGCCTTTTACTTAATGCCTGCGGAAAGGAAATCGCTCCAAGAGTAGATTAATAGAATAGTAGACTAGGGAACCCCCTACGATGCTATAACAAAGGGAAAAAGCTCTGAATTCCAATGGCATGGGGAAAGATAGCTCACTCAGTGGATAATGCACGCTCAACGGGGGCTTGAGTGAAAATATGCTCTTCTTGCTCTATTATGCCGATGAAATCGGAAGCTTCACTCTATGCAGCTTCGTGTACGTTTTAATTCGTAATACTATTATGAATAACCCCTGTATTTCTGTACGCGACAAAGAACACACTGCAGGGAACAGTTGAGCACAGTGGTACCTCGAGTGCCCATCTGTCCAACATATACTGCTATGAATTTGCTTCATGACTTTGCAATGGAAGGTGCTTTTCATTCCTCTCTGTGCTTATTGAAGTGCGGATGCGCCCTAAAGGCAAACGTTTGCACTGAGAGGCATTAAGATATACTTCATTTCTTCAAACTACTAAATTGTTCCCTGAAAGTTCATTTCGGTATTTCCAGTACTGGGTCAGTAAGGGAGTTCTCGTGAATGATCTATTCATAGAAGCACCATGAAGGCGATATAAGTCTATTGTACCTCGCTAGTCGAAATCGGTTCGTTAGTTTTTGCTTTAGTGCAGCGAGTGGGTCGACTCTAAGTACTTTTGGTACCTTACGTACATGTTGAGTCCTAGATACCCTCGAAATTCACACTCTTGTGCTAATACGACTTGACAAAAAACGTCATTCATTATGATCTGCCCATGGCTTCACTGCAACTTCCTTCCAGCAATGCCAATGATTGCGACATCATTACTTACGATAGGATTGAGACGAAGGAACTTCAATAATACTTCATATATCAAAGTCGATTCTGAAGACATTTACGCAAATGCTGCGAGGAAGGGAGTTACCGTTTGGTAGCTGTTCCCGCGGATGTCAAAAAGTACAGAGAAACTCTGTTATAAAGATGAGACAGGGGACCAAGCAAATCATTTCGCTATAAGGGGTAGTTCATCGTCATGTTATTATTTTTTTTTTAACATCATGAGGATCCACCCAGGGAATACAAAATCGTTTCGCTCCGGGGAAAACTTTGTCGTATCCTTCGTTATGACCTCGTTTTATTGTATTTTTTCGTTCACGAATGGCGGGAGACTGACACACTTCCGGGTTTCGTATCAGCACGATCTAGCCTAGTCCTTCCTGCGCAGTTATACCGGGGGGAGGCATAAAATAATTGTGTCGCGTTTTGATATTCTTTGGCGTTCTCGGGACAGTAGATAGCACGACAAAGTTGATTTTTTATGAGCTCTATGTATCCTCTGAATATTCTGAGGTTCTTTTCCCTTTTTTCAGTCGATACACCACACGAGCGACCACGCAAAAGCAACAGGAATTGTATTTTTCCTTGAGGAAAAGGAATAGAGGTTGGAAGGATTTCGGGCCAGAGTTCCTCCTTCTGTCAGAGAAAGTCTTGCTCTCCGCGAAAGGACTGGGTGGGAAAGAATTTTCCAAGAATTTCCTGGTAAGGAATGGGAGAAATGTAGGCCTATCGCTGACTTACAAGCTCCGAGAAACTGGTTCATCTGAGGGGAAGGGAAGGGATTGACCGAAAGCTTAAACAGAAGAAAACTGCGTTTACGGTGAAGAAGCTATTGTTCCTCAAGATAATTGAAAAAGCCTGTAAAAGAATTGCCATTCGTAGTCTGTGCGGCAGATCCGATGGTCAGCGTCGCAAGTGCGAGTTAAAAAAAAATGAAATTCGAGTTGTTTTTATAAAAGTGCTCCTGTGATAAAACCTTGAGACAAAAACTTTCTTCGCCTCTGTCCCTTCCAATATGGCTGCGCTTAACTCTGAGAATATGGTTGTCCTGCAAGCGAAGTCACTAAGCCCACGTTAAGAGTTTGTCAACTTCCTCAGACAAACCTATGATAGCAAATTTGTTCGACCGACAATAGATTACAAAAAATTCACTCTAAATTTTTTTATTTACATTTTCTATAGTAGAATGCCAGGATAGGGAATCGCCATGTTTCCGGTGCTTCTCTTTGATTTGTACATAATGGCACCCGTTGCCACCCGTTGTCCCATCAGCATCACTCTCATCATTCACTAGACCCACCCAGAGGATATGGAGCTTTTTCATCTTTCATGCTTATATTTTATGCTTAATTTATCCTTGAAATTTGGCATTGAAGCTGACAACGATAATTGGCATGAAAGACTGAAGTGAGTCTATTCAAGACCGTGCAGTCATCAAAGAAGCTGCAATGGGTTTCATTCAGGGTACGATTGTTTCATTCAGGGGACGAATTCCACGATCTGCAGATGTCTTTCCCAAGTATATTTGCCAAACCAGTGCATACACTTGTTTGATATGTCTTCCATTTACGATAAAGTGCTTAGTCGAACGACACAGTAATGCAGAGGATCTGAAAGTAGGTCAGTGTTTGCGTATTTCTTTCAGCGGTTCGTCTTCATGCCGCAAGGGAGAATGCAACGCGGAAATGCATACGTTTTACTGATATTTTAAATAGCCTTTTGCTTATATAACCATATACATTCCTGTTAGCATATGAGAATTAAAGCCAGGGACGTGAAGATGAACTGAGGCATCGAGGAAAGCGGCTGCTGTAGGCGAACGCGATCGGGAACAATTCCATTCCCGAAGACTATCTAGCAACCGGCATCTCTCTCCCTCTTTCTCTCTGCTATGACGTCAAGCCTCTTCCGAATAGGAACTGCTCTCGAATGCGCCTGAAGATACGAATCTTGCTTTCATTATCTATGGAACGGGATATGCTATATACTCCGAGTTACCTACTCCGATAGCATCTGTGTTCATGTACACACTTCCAAGAACTCGGTTGACTTTTATCACCGAAATGGGAAAAATATGATGGGACTAGCAATAACCATAAAGCATGGCTGGTCTTCGCTTTCTGATTCCAGAGTTCGAAGCTGCAAGAAATATGACTGCCATTAAATTTCGGCTTCATCAATATTAGTCCTTCGATCCAAATTTCTTGGAATCCCTTCAGCATGGAGTTTCACTGGCAGCTTATTCCGGGAATTAATTTCCTATACTTCTTAAGCCCCTCCCTCACCTTAGTTTTTCTCGTCGTCCCATTCCCACTGTGCGTCATTAGAAAGCAAGATAATGACAGCCTTTCAAGAATAAGCAATTTACAGTGATCGCCGTACGGGATAAGAAGAAATGATGGGAAAAAGAAGCGAATACGCTCGCTAGAGGAGGCACAGGAGCAGGCAACGTTTCATTCCAATCTAAATTTTCAGTCTTTGTAGCTAGAATTATAAGGTAAATGAAGATGTATTGAAGAAGGGCTAGGGGAAGGACTAAAACTCGCGGAGGACGTGTTTTCTTTCGCAAAATTGTCCTAATGCTCTGAAAAATAAAAATTAGCACGAAATTCCATCTTTGAGGCAGATATTTCCGTGTCAGAGATTTGAAGCCATTAACGCGGGATGGCGAAGCCGTTAACAGAATATGAAATGATCATAACTCAAGAGTGTACGATCGACTGGGTGAATCGTAGATAACGTTTCAGTCACTAGTTAAACGACAGTAAATACTACGTAGAGCGAGCTTTCGAACCTTGGGTTCTCGTACTCCCATTTAGCTGCTAACGGACTTAAAAGTCCCTTTATCCCTTTATATGTCCGTTAGCATCAAAAAGGGAGTGCAAAGACCCACCCAGTATTTAAGATAGCAGAATGTATTGGGAATACATTTTTCGGATTTCTTCGCACTGTTTGACTGCATCGCTTACCATAAGATTGCCTCCTCCATGTAATGTAATGAATTGACCTAGGTCTTCTTGTCATCGTTCCTGAGGCTTGAAATATTTTAATGCGATTGATCTGTCGTATTTAAACGCCATAGCAAACACGTACTTTTGAAGGGTCAGTGACCTTTCCAAGAGAGCCAGAGATTTGTGCTAAGTTTTCGCTGGGAGGAAGCCAAAGAATCCGGACAAAAGATCGTTTGTCTGTTACTAATTCTTAAAGTCTGGACCTCTAAGATATTTCTAGACTTAAGGCCAAGGGACTTTGAGATGAGAGCACAGTATGTGACCACGATCCTCCATGATCTTTTTATTTGGAATCTGACCCATATGAGGAACGAGCACAGGGGAGAGGGTAAGGTCAGGACAGGATAAGAACGAAATTATTCTTGAACATAAAAGGGAAATTGTCCACCCGGGCGGTGATAAAAGTTAACATTCTGGTATCCCTCGCAGATTACACATTGAGATTCCCGGTCGGGCAATTTTAGCGGAGTTTCATGGTATCGTGATAGGGCCTTTTAAAAATGCGATCGGTTCAGCGTATACTTCAGTTTGGCAAGGGCCAAGAGTTTAATAGAAGGCCCTCGAGTAGCTAAGCTTAATTAGGTCGACGACGAAGAATGGTGTAGGGGCACACAATGGCCCAAGCTTGTTTCAAAGTATAATTACCAACTAAATGAGAAACCTCGTCCCTTGAAATGCAATCAGTTTTCTTTGCTGGGAAAATACAAGTGTCAGACTTGATACTTGGTAGGTTTCGCGTTCGTATTTTTTTGTTGTGAAACTTCGGCGAGGAACCAGCGAGACGAATGAATGATTAAGGGGGAAAACGGTAGGAGGTCGGGAGTCTGGACCAACCATTAGCCGCGACGACCATTGGCTTCTGTCACAGCAGCAGCTCGAAAGCGAAGAAAATGAGTAATCATTAGCTCAGGCAACAAGTGCAAGGAATTAATTGCATGCCATCTGGAAGAGAAAAGACGGGGAGAGGGAAACAGATGGGGACTACTGTACTCACAGAGCAGAGGTAGAGGAATGAGACGTACACACACGTACGTACACGTACACCGGGTCAGGGCGTATAGTGTGGCGGTTCTCTATCTCACACACACATACTATAGGAACAAAATGAAGAGGAGATAGGAGGGAGAACACTGTCGAGAGACGAGAGAGAGAGAGAGAAGAGGAGGAGGGAATGTAAGAAATTTTCCCGGCGAGGAAGGAGGAGCGGAGTGGGCCTAGGACTAGGCAGGGTCTGTGCTTCCCTCCCTGCCCTGCCTGCGAGGAAAGGAAGGCGACGATCAATAACCAGTATAGGCTTCTGTGCAAAGGCACGGAGAGACACCGCACCTCCGCTAAGAGGTAGCGAGACCTCCTTCTTTCTCCTTGTTAGTCCACATTCATCGAGGAGACTCCAATCGAGTGATGTCATGTAGATCTACGGAGCTCCAATGCCATTGTCGCACAGCCACAACCACGAAAAGAGAAGAGAGGAGAAAGCGGAACAAGGCACCCCCGGTTCACTCGACGGAAATGAGGATTTGCATAGATATCCTTGGCACATGAGATGCTTACAGATGCAAAAGGGGGATCGATGTTTAGGAAACTCCTACAACTTCATACCCGAAACAATTCTAAGTATGATACGAGATGCCTTTTAAAGTGAAAGCGAAAAGAGAAGCGATTGAGAAAGGGAGAAAGGAGGAAGGAGAGAGTTATTTCCGCCGTTTCTCTGCATACATACGGGGAGTACACGAGAAAGAGACCTTTTTCTCGAGATTTCCTTCCCCGAAGTGGCGGTGGGATCGTATTGACTCGGGCGATGAATCCCAGACAAAGCATTCCGGCATTCAATCACTCCCCGTCATTGTGTGACGAATTCCTCTGATGGATGATGCCTTTACTCCTTCCCTGGCTTCCATTATAAACTAATGACTTCCAAAATATTTCGGAGCCTGACCTGAACTGAAGGACCTAAGTCTCGAGATATACGAGAGAGTGCGCTGGTCGGGAAGGATGTAAAATGATATCTTCGGTGGAAAGGAAGGGAAAAGAGGGTAAGAGATGATGGGTAATGTCGGAAGTGCGAATGGGGCCCTATTACTCACAGAGCCGGGAAGTGACATCCACTCCTGCTGTACCTCTAGGGTTCCATCCTATGAAAAGGGGGGACAGGAGGGAAAGACGAGGGGATGGGTACACAGAGCCTAGAAGCGGATTTTCCCGCTCAACCCATCTGAGCCCCGAACCCGTATCTTATAAGGGTATCATTTCTGGAGCTAAAAGACACTCCTTGTTTCTAGCACCCTCCTCATCCTACTTTCTCTCTCGTCCTCCGAGATAATTATGTCAGGCATAGAAGGAAGATGGATCGATTCCTCATCGTCACAATCTGTGCTCAGACTAGCATTCAAGTTAATGAATCACAGCCGCAAGGTCTAGGTCTCCTGCATATTTCGTATCGCTCCCGAGCGTCTAGGATTCCTGCATTCATACTCTGTCTCGTCTCTTAGGCTTGTGCCACTTCTTCGGTCACGAAGTGCAACGCAGCATGGTCGTTTAAAAGCCTAGATGTTATAGCATCTACCTGAATCACGAGTGGAAGCAAGGCCTTCTCCAAACTCTTGGTTTTCAATTCGAGTGGCTCATCGTCGTTGTAGGCGGCCATATTTCTCGTGTCAGTACGAGAAACACGCCCACATCAGACACATAAGCACTGGCACCAGCTCCATGGCTAAAGCATCAACATGGCCGACACAGATGGTGCTTCATGCCAAAAAACCTTGAACGCCTCCATCCACTTCACGTGAGCAACGAGCAAAGGGGGAGCGGGAGAGATACAAAAAAAGGACGCTTCTGCAGCCGCTGCTTCTTTTCGTGTCGTTCTCAAGGCAGGCGAACAAGGTAAACCTGATTCGAGATAGGAAGGAATTTTGTTTTGCTCACGCTTGTCCAATTTTCTGGGGGGAAATGGAAATAATCACGGAAGGGAGCGTCTGCAGTTCTCCCCCAACTCCCAAACTACCGTGAGCCCAAAAATAGACGAGAGAAACGCTCTTCGGAGGAGGCGGAGGAGCAGTCACGCAAAGAAAACATTCAGTCGTCGTTGCCGAACTCCCGATTATCACTAACCTTCCATCATCCTCATTTCTTTTGCACATTGTTAACTGTTCACGGTTTTCCTCAGTTGTAGTACCAGTGAAATGCAAGCGAGGAAACAGGGGGACAGGGAAGCCAAGCGTGTCAAAGAGACATAATTAGGTTACAAGCGGGTTACATGGTCCGGAATGGGAGCCTGGCATCACGACAGAGACTACTGGAGCCAGCACTTGCATCAATTACACTATAAAGTCTCCTTATTCGATGAGAAGATTCTGGTTCGTTGTGTCATGCCCAGGAATCAGAGGGCTGGCAGACCAGGCGATGCAATTCTCTGTCCCTTCGTTTCCAACACATGAATGCATATTTCCCATGACTATTTAAGGGAAACCATCCATCTCATGATGTCAGCCGCTCTTCTCCCAAACTGAATTCCGTGAAAGACCCTTGAAACATGTTCCTAATCCCTATAAACTTCTCGTTTCGGTTTGATAATTGCAGAGTGACAGAAGATGAGCTGAAAGTGTTCCTCCTCTCCACCATAGATTAGTAGAAAGAGAGAGAGAGAATTGAATGGAACTGTAGGAGTGTCCAAGGTCGACATGTCCTGCTGCGGAACTCGCGGGACTTCCATAGGAGGAAAAACTCCTCGCCCCATGAAAGCACATCCGTCATCGCTCTCTTCTCCCTCTCGCTTCCCTTGCCCTTCCTTTGCTTTCTTGTCTCTTCGGTATTGAAGGGTTTCTCTCCTCCCTTCCATGTGGAAGACCTTGGACATCTTGTTGCTTTGAAATTGCCCTCCTTGATGAATGGATCGGTCGACGCTCGCTTACCCGATGAAAAGTTTTCTTCGCTCGACTTGAGAAACTCATTTCAATGCGAATGTATGTAGAGAAAGAGTTCGTTGAAAAAAAGAGTGAGGACAGATGGAAAAGGCGAATGCTGCTTTACTTCCTCTTTCTGTCCCAAAGCCATCAGTAACCGTCATGGGAAAATTGAATTGAGTCAGTTATCTCCTGAATTACAGGGAGGAAACTATTATTATTATAAAAATCTCAATGGCGTGGAACGGATGACGAGATTGAATTATGCGCCAGTAAATAAGGAAGTACCTTTTAGCTACATAAAGCCACGGAAGGAGGTGTCATGAAATCACGACAAGGTGTATGGATTGGGATATCTTCCAAGGATGCAAACACTTGAGAAAGTTGAAGCGCGAAGTATTGAAAAGAGTTTTAAATTTCTTCTGACGTTACTCGACTGCAAGGTAGCTCGAATTTGACTAGATTAGGCCATCGCTCTTCGAAAATTCAACTTAATCGTATCAAATTTTCGAATGAACTCAATTGCTCGCATTCATCAGTCTTTAAGATCACTGAGAACTTGTAAATACACTCAAACCCTCTACTGCAGGGGATTCAGCTTCGATAGGTTATCTTTCCTGGAAAATAAGAGAAGACAATATTAGAATAACGCGCTGCCATCAAAGACAGCAGCCTATTGGAGCTCCGAAGTTTCCAACTCCCCATTTGCCCTTGATCGTTTCCGGCATGGAGCATATCCACTGTGAGGCTGGGATCATTCAGCAGCCAATAAAAACTTTTAACATTCTCCAATGTCATCTCACGGTATGAATAACCTTGGAGACTTTCACATGGAGCACAAGCATTCAACTGTGCCAAAAGCAATTCATTGAGGAATCTCTAGGAAGCAGCTAGACTTTGTGCCTGCTGCCTGCACAGTGCAGATACGGAGAAGATGAGAAATTCACGTGGAGGCTGCAGAGCTGTCTATCTCCAGTTTCCCGCAACATGGATTTGCTCTCACTCCTCCCTTCTCTCTTGTCTAAGACTGGCTTATTATGTGAAGAGCTGTGTCGCCTGAATGCCCCCTGCGCTCTCCTCCTCCCTTTTGTTTTACACTATTCCAGTCTGAACCCTACCTTTTCAGAGGGTCCAGCTCAATTACAGTATCCTCGAACAAAAGGCAGGAAACGACTTTCATCAGCAGAGACCGCTCTCATTTGTTCGGATCCAACTGAATCTGCCAAGTTAACCCTCCATCTTTTCAACGACCGGAATGTCATTTCCTTGAGGCTTGCGCATATCCTCGCACGCTAAGACCATAGGGACCCCCTTACCTGGGAATACCCTTGGGATCACCCAGGGACAGGTGATGACGGCAGTTCTATAAATTGCGAAGGATAATAATTCTATTCGATACCCTCCTTTGTAAAGGAGCTTCTGTGCTACAGATTTTGCACTTTCTAGGCTTCACGTCTTCTCTGAGAAGTAATCGCATCCAGCTATAAATCACCATGGGGCACACCATATAATCTGTGTCGAACGGATGATATTATCAAGATTAATCCTGGTTAATGAAGTTGTTACATATAGAGGGGCATGTGACCGCAAAAAGTGATCGCAGGCCAGAGAGCCACCAAAACCATTGCAGAACCCTATAGAGAGCTGGAACATCCTCGTATTGAAAGCGCAATCTTCTATATGCATCCAATAATTTTTCGCATTTTTTTCCCATCATGCGTCCTCGCTCTTATAATGGAGAGGTTTTGATTATTAATTTTTGAGGACGAGAACGTGAACGTATTGGTAGACGTACGAGTTTTAGATTTTCGATGGGGCATTTTGACTACGCGTTTCAGGTCTGGAACTTGGGTGAACAACTTCCGCGGATCTCAATATATTGTACAAATGATGTCCAAGTGTGTAAATACCCGCTTTACTGCAAGAAAGTTCATGCTTTCTGGCTCGACAGGTTAGAAAGTATTTAAAGTGTGATTATCGGCAGATTAGTAACCAGCTTCAGCGAGCGAACAATTATCCGCCGTAATTGCGCAAGCTGAGAACTAATTAAAACTAATCACTCTACGCTGTACGAAAGGTCACGTGGGTCAAACCTTTCCTGATTGGTGGATTTTCGCATCGCGATAATGTTCCCGGAGGAACGGCCGGACGAGGATCTCCACGTCTTTGACGCTTTCATCGCGCATGAAGTCACCCGTTAGAAGCTGGGCAAGCCCAGTTTAGCAATTGGCCTTCTTTCAATGAGTGTTGGTAAATACTTTTTAGATACCCTCCGAATCTCGTTTCCTGGTAGAGACGTGAATGATGGCAACCCGCACGGGAAGGCATCGGAGACCAGACCTTACCTATCTTTCACATTTTAGGCTTTAGGCCATAGGATGCCTGGGAAAGGTTGAAGTCCTGCAGTGTTAAATATATTCCCCGTATGGGTTTCTACCCCATGACGTCATTACAAGGAAAAATGAGGTATGGTTCACACTTATAGCCAGGAAGCGTTTTTCCTTACAGGTTTTGGTCATTATTCCGAACCTTGAGACATAATCATAAGCCACCTTGCCCTAAGTGCGTGACCGTGACATTGTTCACAGACCAGTGGCGTAGCAGGGGGAGAAGCCTGACTTATAATATACATGCCCACGTGAAAGTGTTGTGTAGAATTCCTCTCCAATACTTTAGAATTCAACAAGTTTTATTCATAGAAAAATAATTGTTACGTAGAATTGTAAATACCTCTATACAGACTCGCAAAAGAACTCTGGATTTATAGAGATTTTATTGTTATTCCTGGTATAGAGGTTTCTTTAGAATCGACTACATGGCCTTTTTTGTAGAAAGCTCAAAAATTCTAAAGAATATCGCTATGGAATTTCCATAGAGGCATTCTATAGTACACTTTCATCTGGGCTATCATGAAAGCATATTGGAATAACTTCAAGCCTAATGTGGTATCATATCCCATCCCTTAGGGACAAGACTTTTCATTGGAACCAGTAAGTTCCTTCTTTCGACTGGAATAATGACAAAATTCCAGGCAACTGAAGTTAAACTGACGCGTATGAAATTTCACGAAGTTGATGGCGAGACTTCATTCTGTTCAGCGTGAAGCTATACGTAGAGTCCAGAGCTCTTTCCATAGGTGTTCGAGTTGGTGAGGAAGTTTTCACATGAGAACTCATATCTGTATCTTCCTCATATTAAAATTACCATCACTTTTCCTTGGGCCAGAAGAGTCCTTGAACCCCTTCAAAATACCTTCACATTTAGCATGTCGTGTCAAGTGGTGCTGCAATTTTCATCACTCCTCGAACACGTCCTCAAGCACGCATCAAGTATTTATGCAAGAGAGAGGGATTTTTCAGTCTCAAGCAGCATGCAACATAACAGACTCGAGGAGCAATTCCACTGACAAGGAAGAAATTTGGGACTGCAGGCGACATCTATACAATAAATTTAAAGTTGTTGTTCAAAGAGTGTACTACGCTAGATGGCAGGCTTGCAGCCCAATTCTACAGACACACATGCAGGTACCGTATGAAGCTCGCCGCATCTGCACTTTTTTGTGTTAACCCTTTCGTGCATGATTTTTTAAAGCAAAACAAATAGAGGCTTTTTTGGTTTAACGTTTAAGGTGGTATTCTGCCGTGGTAGTCGGATGATTCACCGTTAGAACACTGAACCCAGCAAACAATTTTAAACACATAACGTTGACTCAATGTTGAATCAACATTGAATAAACGTTTGAAACGTTGTTACAACGTTGGTGCAACGTAGCCTAGTTTGCTGGGAATAGATGAAGTTCCCTGGAGTGAACTGCATGCACCATAAGTTACGAAGCATGTGTACCGTGGGTGAAAAACCAACATCCGAACCAAAAATCATAGCCGTCCATTTCAGTGGACATCATGCACGAAAAGGATAATGTTGATGAGGGCCTTTCGATTGAGGTATTAGCTATGTGCTTCTTCAGTTTTGGGGTAGCCCATTTCTTTGACAAAGCCAACACCACGTCAAGGGCGTGGCAAGAGCAGGACTTCCATGAATTTGAAAATTTAATGTGGGATAGTTGGGTAATAGTGGGATAATTCAGTGTAAGTTGATTAATTCACATATGTCATTTCATTTGAATGGACGTTTCGCAGTTCCTATAATCCTTTCCAATTATGAGCTATCTTTTCATATACAAGGCTATGACTAAAGGTACACCTTCCAGGGCCATAACATTTTTTAAATTATGATATTCTCCAGTCTAGTGTTGCAGCAGTTGCAGTAAGGATGAGGTTGTCATAACCTGTTGAGAAAACATATGGAGCTGGTAAATGGTCAAGCCATACAATTTGCAGTTTCTTTTCAAATTCCCCAGATTAAGCTTCCTTGTTGTTTAATACTAATTTTTCCTGAAGTTAGAGAAATCCCCTATAGGCCTACTATGTTAACAGTGATCTGCAACCTGTTGTATATTGCAAATGCACCTCATTACAGTCACAAGAACATTTTGTCAGAGTAATTACTCTGTTGTAGGGCACAGCTTTCTTCACAGGCCCTTCTTATGCCAAAAAGTTCTATTTACTTGCTTGTGTGAGATATGATCCACCATGCCTCTAACAATTTAGTCCTTCGGCTAGTCTAATCTTTTTCCTTGTCAATTTTAGTGTGGGATGCTGTGGTCATGGTATACCCTGCAATAGACCATAGGTTCATAAGTATGCCCAGTTCCATATGGATGAGTGTAGTCAGGGAAAGATGTATGTATTCTTACATTTTAAGATATTTTTTGCTACCTTTGCATCAACTTTATTTGAAACTTTTCAATTATTTTGTCCTTTTTTTTTGGTGCATATTGTGCTCATGAAAAGAAAAACTGCAAAAGTTATATTTTTCTCCTTGGAGAGGGGAACTCTTTCTAATTCCATTAACAAAGGGAAAAGCCTAGATATACCATGACATAAAAGTGTCACAATCAATGGGCTGTGGATAAATGATATTAGACTGATTCTTATTCATTGATGCATCCCATATGCCAGTCGTGCATCAAATTGAGATTCAAAAAGTACTACTCCATGCAGCTGGTACCAGATGAATACATGTGAACCATAACCATTACCAACATTACTTGTTGAAGTTGGCCCTGTTGTATTTGCCATTGGGCTGCTAATATTTCAATGGTAAGTACAGGGTTCTGGATAGGTCTTTATGACTGGGTGGACTATCATGTCAGAATAATTGTTGCTGCTTAGTTTAAATTAATATTTAAAAAATAAGCTGCTGGTTAAATTGGCCAATGCAACCTTTTTCCCTTGGCGCATCCTCAACCGACGGTAACTGACTTGGAGCTGCCAAGACAATAGCATTTTTATTCAGCTATACCATATTATGGACTGGTTGACTAGTTGAACATGTGTGTAATACAAATGCAAGTCCAGTCCTAGGTGCCTGGCACAGGAATGTGCACATGTACAAAACCCCTTCTCTCCAATCCCATCCAACCTTCCCATGCTTCCACATGCTTTCTACCCCCTTGAAAGCTCAATTAAGGAACTCTGGCTTATCTCTCCATCCATCATTTGTTAACCTGGAGTTACTTATGAAGGGCATACCAAAAGTATCGAGACTTTGGCTGTAATTTTATTAATGTGTTTGCCATGAAAATCGAATCCAGTTTCCTTTGATGTGTAACAAATATGCAATGCACACTCAGAAGTACAAGTTGCTCTCTCTTATTATTAACAAAATACAAGCAGTGAAAGGAACACATGTACCAGAAATTACAGACGCAACAACACATTCAGTCATCTTGTGGATCATCATGAACCTTCTCCATGTAGTCCCTTTGAGGTGGTCGCATTTCTGCCACAGCAATTCACACTTGCGATTCACATCGTGTATGTGCCTAAAAGGCACATTCCCAGAGTGAGGTTGGTTTATTAGGGCTTTTTTGAGATCACTCCAGTAGTTTTTGATTTAGGGTGAAATGTATGGAGTGTCAGCAGAAGAATTCAAACCAAGTTTGAGTTCCATCCAACCACATACTTCAAGCCTGTGAAGTGTTGAACCTTTGGGGAAAGAAGAAAGTGTGAAGGAATAGAAAGAGTAGGAAGAGCTTAAAACATTTTTTTTCCTGTTGTAGGTGCAAATCCAGAGCTCTCAGCCCAAAAAATAACTCATTGCTTCATTAATACTGTATAAGTTGCAATTTTGCATGGTGTATGGTCAAATTTTGAACATGGGGAAAAAATTATTTAAAGAAACTGATCAAGATTGTCCCAAATAGTCCAACTTCCATTGGGTGACTGCAGGAATGAGCTCCACTGTCGCAGTTAGACCATTGAGTAATCAAGTAGAAGCATCATGGAATTGTCAGTTGCTTGTACCCATTGGACTAAGGCAGATTGGCCTCTTATGGAGTCCAGGGGTTGTGCTAAGATTCTTGTCCTGGCCTCCTGCCCATGCATCCCAGAGGTCCTGGGACCCCCAGGACACACAGGTAGAAGGCCCAAGACTGCTGGATTGAATATCATGCTGCTTGTTTGTTAAGTCAGCAAATACACATGGATTGCTGGACATTTACTTTTGGGGAACCCTTCAAGATTCCTTTGAGCTTCACTTGGAAAGTAACCCTCTTAATTATCAGGGGACCCTTCCATATCAGACCTGAGGGTCCCAGGGGACCCCTATGGCAAGAAACCTAGCACAACCCCTAGAGTCTATTGTACATATGGGATTCCTGTGTACAATCTATACTGATTGTCGGAAGGTTTTCCCAATTCCTTGTACTTATCATTTTAAGAGTGGCATGTTTGCAATATAAATTCTGATATTTCACCAAATTAACAAAAAAGGTATTACTGAACATATGTTTCAGATTTTAGCTGCTTGGGTTGGGATACCTGCATCTTAATTTGAAATCAGTAACTTCCTCTATAACTGATTTTTAAATTTATTATCCTGAATTTCCAACTTGTGACATCTAATTGTCATGGTGGTAGCATGTCTCACTCATAATTGTAAGATCATGCAGAAGGCAATAAATGAAAAATACAAAAGAAAAACCAGCCTGGTACATGAAATTTAAAAATGAACAAGTGAAAATTTCATTCTGTCTTGGGCCTCTCCTATATAATTTTTTTTTTCAGGTTAATTATGCTTTATTATTATGCATATGGTAATGTGTACCTTACGTACTTTAGCCTTGATAATCCTGTAATTACCTGATTGACAGGTTACAGTAATTGCATTTGTCTGATGTCCTGTTGGTGCAAGCCTGAACGTATATGGGAATGTGCTTTAACATTTTGCACTAAATCTTCTTATTGTAATTTTCATTGAAAGACTATTGTAAGTCTGACTATATCTATGGATAAAACCAATATCTTATAGTTCTATATGAGACAGTGAGGAATGATTAAATCAGCTGTTGAAATGATTTCTCTTTTTTGGCCAGGTTGATTTTTGGTTGTGCCCTGCCGTTGGATGGGAAGTCTTGGGAAATTTGGAAAAATATCAACTGCATGGTGAGAGATTCCTCAAAATGCTTCTTGTTATAGTTCAATTTTTAGAGCAGAGGTTTCCAACAAATTTGGTTTAGTGAGAAAGTTATGATAAATGAGAAGTTCTCATGAGCAAGGAGCAGAGGGGAAGGAGTGTGTTTGTGTGGGGCTGTCAATTGATTAGAAAATTTAGTAGATTAATAGAATTTTAACTGATCCCCTAGTTTCTTGTTGAAAATGTGCCAAATGGAAGATCCTGCTGATAAATGCAGAAAGTCAATTGAATTAAACATAAGAAAAGAAGTGCACTGAGCCTTTGCCAGGTAGCCAATCCATCCTAGAAGGATGTAACAATGTAACCTAGATGGCTTGAGGTATACAGTGGCACTTCATTGCGCCGAGATTTGAAGATTCATTATGAATTCACAGGCAACACAGGATGGATGAATGGAAAAAGCAGGGAGTAGTAGAGGGTTTGACACTCCCCCACTTACTGTTATTTCCATGGGACTCTCATACCACCCATGCATTTACATGCCTACCTCTCACTCCCCAGTCCTTACATTGTTGTTGTTCCTGCTGCTCCTACCTCATGATCCTTGCCCAAATCCCTGCTTCCTCTGTGCACCCCTTGCAGTTTTTTTATTCTGACTTTCTTTTTCATTTCCTTCTGAAGCTTCTTTTAGAATAATCTGAAAAGCAATGGCTTTCCTTTTGTTTCCTTTTTCCAAAAATAGTAGTTGTATTTGCTGAAGAGTGAGCAGTTTGAAAATGACAACCTTCAAGCCATCATTCATTTCATTCTCTTCACAAAGCATTTGTTTTTGGTTGTTGGGTAAGACTATGTACCACACAGCCAAATTTTAAAAGAAAGAGGCATTCAGGGGGGAGATTAAAATTTGATTAATTTAAACTAAATTTTAACACTATCATAAAACATATATATTCTTCTTTTTTCTGTTAGAAAAGTGTGACTCCATTTTGAGCAACATTCAGAAAGTAAAAGGTTAAGTAGCAGTATTCAGTTTAGTATTCAATGTATCACTAGCTTTTAATCAATGATTCTGTTTCTTCCATGAGCAATTGTTTCTTGCAACTCTAGTCTTGAGCATCCCTAGCTGTTGTGGTTAGAAATCATGTTTGCTTTGTATCTCCATGTATCGGGATTTGTCCATTACATTTGAAGGGTTTCGAATTGCAACATCTCTATAGCATTTATGTACTGGTGTTCCTTTTTATTCCTAGGGCAGGCATAGTTGCAGCAGGTATTGGAGGTTTTGTTTTGGCAAAAAGAAGCATTGACAAGAAGAGATATGAGAACATGAAGGTGAGGGAGCATATGAGGCATGCAACACGTGGAGAATACAGCACAGAGAGGAAGTTCTGATCTACACTGACCAAAGAAGAATGGCCAGTCTCCCACAATTGGATGTGTCCAAGCTGAAGATTGTTCAGGACTTGGAGATAGAAATGATGTCTGACATGTACAACAAAATGACAACTGCTTGCAATAAGAAATGTATCCCATCAAAGTATCGGGACCCAAGTCTGACCAAGGGAGAAAGTGTGTGCTTGGACCGTTGTGTGGCTAAGTACTTGGATGTGCATGAGCGAATTGGTAGAAAGCTCACTCAGCTTTCCATGCAAGATGAAGAGCTCATCAAGCAGATTCAAGCTGAACAAAGTAAAAGATAGTAAATTCACAATTTGTAGTTCTGATTGCCTTACTTCACTGTAGGAAGACCATAGGACGACAATGCTTTGTTGTTGTTTTGGCAGGAAAAAAAACATGTGATGATGAATAATTGTGAGATCTTCATTTCTTTTTTTTATTATCAAATCATCATATACAAATATCACTTGAAATTATTCTCCTGCATGATACATGAAGGTGTATAAATCCCTTTTTGTCATAGTAAAGGGTCCAGAGGTTCTAACACCTATGACAAGATGTGCTGAACAGTTAAAGCTGCAGTTAGGAGCTCCTTGTCATGGAATTGTTTGTTCTGGATAAGAGAGATGCACTTTGACACCTGCAGTGGCACTGAGAGTCCACGAAGGATACTTTTGCTCTTTTCATTGTTGCTAGCCAAGCACCAGATGGTAGTGACAGCTAGGCTGCAAATTTCTGAATCTCCTGCAGTCATTTCACGAGCAATGCTTCTGACAAGGTCCTCTACAAACAGAAAGCCAATAAGATTACCTGTATCAGCAACTAAATTGGACATTGCATAATCAATGCATTCATAAGGTTTTGCAGTCAGAATGTACTGATATAAAGGAATGGTAGCCAACTCAAAGGCTAGAACCTGTGAAACTAAATGTAATTTTTTTTTTAGTATTGGGATCAGTGATGTGAAGCAGGCTGACTAGCAGGCAATGAAACTGAAACATTTTTGTGGGTATTCTTAAGGTGGTACGGGAAGGAAAATCGATGGGTCTGGGATTCAAAATTTTATCCGTAATTCTTATGTAGGGGGTCTCACAAAACCCAGAAAGCACTTTCTTACCTCCCT